TCCCGCTTAACTATCCCTAAATTGGAAATGTCCGGAGCTGCTCTTCTCACGCGACTCCTCAACTACGTTCACTCGTCTTTGAAGTCTGTAAACGACATTACGGACGTCTACGCTTGGTCGGACAGTGAGGTATTACTTTGTTGGCTCAGAGCTGTACCTCACAATCTTGAGGTCTTTGTGGCGAACCGCGTGTCTCAAATCCAGAATTCTGAGACTTCTCTAAACTGGAGACATGTTCCAGGGGAGGCTCTTCTCGCGGCTGTGAAGCCCCCTTGTTGGTTGACCACCCGCTGTGGTGGGGTCCCAGTTGGTTGACTGAGTCTCAGTCATTCTGGCCCCAGGGTAAATACTCCGAACCGATGGAATTGCCTGGCCTACGAGCCCGAGTAGATGTGGGCAAAGATAAGCCAACTCGGGATCTCTCTCTTCTAGAACGGTACAGTTCTCTCGATAAGCTCTTAGCAGTGACTACTTGGTTGCGCCGATTTGTCCGCAATTCGAGAGACCCGTCCAATCGACTCTCTGATTCCGTTTTGTCCCCTAGCGAGCGTCGTGAAGCTTTGATGCATTGGACCCGTATGGTCCAAGCGGAGCATTTTGAACACGTGATTGAAAACTTGTAGCGGGGCTCCGTTGTCAAGGGTGCTCTGAGCCATCTGAACCTTTTCCTAGACGACGCTGGAATATTGTGCGTTGGCGGACGTTTGGACGTTGTCCAGTTGCTGGTAACCCACCATCATGTTCAGAATGCCCACGCTGGGTGTAACGCTCTTTCGGCTATTTTGCAGCGGGAATTTTGGATTTTGGCTGGCCGACGCACCATTTGGAGTGTCATCTTTAAGTGCATACCATGTTATAAACTGAAGGCCACCACGGCTTGTCCACACTGGGGCGGTATTTTTGAGGCGGTGGTAAAGGTTGCAAAAACGCATCTCCGGCGCGTTATTGGCGAAACTATTTTGACGTTTGAGGAGCTTGCTATTCTGTAAAATTGAAGCGGTACTCAACCACGGCCCCTCTGTCCCCTCTCGTCCGATCCGAATGATTTGGAGGTTCTAACCCCGGGACAATTCCTGATTGGCCAGCCGCTTAACGCCTTGCCCGAGTACCCCTTCAGGGAAGTAAACTCTTCGCGGCTTAGCAGATTTGACCTGCTGCAACAGATGACTCAGAGTTTTTGGCACCGATTGTCTCTGGAGTACCTATATCTTTTGCAGCAGCGCATTAAGTGGTCTGACAAGACGGATCCTCCCCGGGTTGGAGGCCTCGTGTTAGTTAAAGAGCCCAACGTTTTGCCTTTGTTTTGGTACCGTGGGCGCATTGTTAAGTTGTCGTATGGATCGGATAGGGTGCCTAGGGTGGCCGAGCTTTTGGTCGGAGATTCAGTCTTGCAACGTGCCGTCGCGAACCTGTCCCGTTTGCCAATCTACTCGCAGACATAAATCCTTATGTCCGGGGCGTGGGTTTGTTTAGGCAAAATATTACCCGTTGAAAATTGAATTCATAACGCGCGCTCGGAGCGCATAGCGCCGTAGTTAGGTCACCTGCGCCCCTCCGCGCGTGCTCGCATTCCATTCGAAGTCGTGTCGAACGGGACGTGTCGAGACATTCATTGTGAGGGACTGCCGGTTGCATTGCTTGCTGGGAGTCGAATCGAGCCACGTGGCGCCGAATTTGTTAACGAATTTCTGCAGCGACGAATAATTGTGTTGTCTAGAATACTAGATGCCAAGTTGGCTAATTATTGAGTATTTAGTGTTTAATTGTACCGTTAAGTTAAGCACCTTAAAAGGTCGCGGTCGGGTTTCGAAACATTTGTTGCGCGGTGAACGAAAGTAAACTTTGACCCACCAGTCGTGCCGCGTGTTACGCTTTATAATTAACAGGATTTAGTTGCGTCTTGATGTTAGTTAAATATAATAATATAAATGTACGATAAAGTTAATAGACTGACATAGTGAATTGAAGAAGGAAATAGTCCATTGCTGCCGCCGATGGAGAATACCACGTCAGAGGGTGGCGCCGGAGTCAGCGTGGCTGCTGATTAAAACCAAAGGGCTAGTTCCGGTTACACAAATTTACACTTCTAACACACCACTCACATTCACGACCATTACGCCTCTACGAGCCCTGGGAGCCTTCTTCGCCAGCGAACAGGTACGTGCTATTAATTCACCTAGCCTCCTCCCAGTTCTTTAGTGGGATAGGACAGTTTCCATAAGGCCATTTGGGCCCGAACTCTCTGGTTGCTCGTCGAGTGTATTACTGATGGGCCCTAATACAGTCGACTTCTGTCTGGGCAACTGAGAGCCGTAACAACCCAGCAGTTGCAGTCGTAACCAAGTTTGTTCTCCAGAGATTCCAATGAAAGGGTAAATTACAATTTTTAGTGCTGAATTAACAGCATAATCGGCAATGAAATAAAACATCGTAAGAAATTTTTAAATACATGGGCGGTGGATGTTAGGAGGGCGGTATTTGTTAAAGAAATCGGTTGTGTTAACTTTTTTAAATGATGCTCGTATTAATCTCAAAAATCTGAAGAACAGCCCTTACCTTATAACCTACATACGAGTATATACTTTCCAATGAAAAAGTATAAAAACATACTATACTGGACTAATTTTCTGCCTAGAAGTCTGCCAAAGGTGGAACCCAAACTTTTACATATTTCTGCCACCAAATACCAATTCTCTTTTTGAGTTCCGGTTCTAAGGATATAGAGACCCAGGCTGACTGTAAAATAGTTTTTACTTTAGTTAATAAAAAGTAATATCGATTTTTTATTTGTAAGAAACGTGCAGAAATGGTAAAAGAGCTGGCATTTTTGGCTCTAGCGGCATCTTGGATCAGCAACTCATGCTGTACCACCGATTTGTATGTCAGAAAAATTATAAATATTTCGAAGACATATTATGTAGTCTGTCATTACGGGAACGCTGGTACGTAGTATAGCCACAATGTGGCGCTAAATATATATGTCAATGTAATTGGGTCAGCTCGACCGGGGAAAGACTACTCCCACAACATGCTGTTGTTTGGTATGATGAACGTAAAGAACCGGAAACCCTTTGTACTGGAAACGAGGCATTCCATTTTAGGCAACAAAGACAACGCACGAGGATTTATGTAGATGTATATGAGCCACAGCATCCCTTACAATTACATGGACTATCTGCTCTGTTTATAGCCCTTAGTCTACAAAAAGAACTCTCCTTAAAATCTGAGAAGGCTTGCGCTCTGCACATTACACTAAAAATATTCATCTAGTTATTTAATAAGGCATTTCAGCCTAATCATTTTCATATTCACAAAGTAATTCACTGAGCAGTGTGCATTAATCTCAGTCTATCCCCCAGCTTCATAACGTAATCTGGTAATGAAATAGGGATTAATGTATGGCGTTTAATGATATTTGAACTAAGATTTGCGTTTACTTTGAATACGTTAATTCTGTAATGTATTTTCTGTCTGATTTTGGGTTTTGATTTTATATAATTTAAGCAGCCATTACTGCGATTATACGTATTATAGTGTTGATTTAACATAAACTTGAATATTTCTTTGACGGCTCGATAGCACAGTGGTTCATTTTGGCTGCGACCTTTCGGAACCGAGGGTTCGAATCCTCCCACGGAAGAAGTGTTTGTATTGCCTTGGTACAGCGAGGTGCTTCTAACACTATCCTAGGCGACTCTATTAAAGTCACACTTCTGATGATGTGTTAGTAGAGCCACGGGGCGAGCAGGATATCTGTTTTGCGATGCACCGTTCTTCTTAACCATAGTCCAAATCCTGGAGCTGGGAAGGCTGGTGCTTACTGGTGTAAGCTTTTACTGGCCCTATCGCCTCCGTGTCCTGGAAAGGGGGGGTGTTCCTCGGTAGTCTATTGCAATCATCGGTCAAAATAATGTGAGTTGGTAGGTAGGTAATAAAAGCCTATACATTCCATGAAATCATCTACATTTTAATCATATGGAAAGCCAGACATTAATAAATTATTCTAATTCTATTCTTTTTTTTTTATAGGAGAAGGGGCAAACGAGAATTTGGCTCACCTGATATTAAGTGACTACCGCCGCCCATGAATAACTGCAACACCAGGGGAACCAGGGGAATTGCAGATGCGCTGCCAGCCTTTTAAAAAGGAGTAGGCTCTTTTCTTGAAGGGGTCCCTGAGTCGTATCGCTCCGGAAAAACCGTAATAAAAAAATGCGAAAGAAAATGCAAAGAGATGCAACATCTCTTCGCAGTGCCAATGAATCGAGCTGATCGGAAAGGACAAGGTATTCGACGATTCGAGCCGCTCTGCGCTGGATTTGGTCAAGTAGAAGGAGCTGGCTTTGGGGAGCCCCTGCCCAGAGATGGGAACAGTATTCCATGTGAGGCCGAACCTGCGCCTTGTAAAGTTGCAAGCGGTGTGCCCGCATAAAATACTGTACCTCTCTGCTGAGCACGCCAAGCTTTTTAGAGGCCAATTTGGCCTTCTCTTCCAACTGACGATGAAACTGCACGTCACTCGATATGTCGACACCGAGGATACCGATACTGGCTGAGGCAACAAGGGGAGGGCCTTGAAACTGAGGAGATACGACAAAGGAGTTTTTTTAGCGGTAAACGCGCAAACTTGTGTCTTCTGAGGATTAACTTCATTCACTGTGCGACGTCTAAGCGAGCACCACGTATTATATTTCCTCTTAGTGTAGTCTGTGTTTTTACCGACATAACTGTTCTTATATTATTTATTTGTGTTAGTTTCTATAGTGTACATTAATACTGACATAAGAAATTGAATAGTGTTACATAAACTGTGAGTAATAAAACATAAACATTGCTAAAATTTCTACAAGTGTTTAGGCGTTTGTATTTTTGCGAAAGCTGTGTGTCATTGACGGGGTCAACGAACTGTCACGTACATTGAACTCTCGGGCTGAACGCATAGGCTTCCCGTTGCAATTTTACTTGTTGCTTATTAATCAATTTTAAAACAGTTAATCATAATGGCTTTGTTGTACGCGTGCTGTCGTGTTGCTGTAGTAAATACTGATGTTCCTATGATTTGTATTAGTTGTAGTGGCTACTATCATCTGCAATGTGTGTCGGCATCATCCAGAAAAGATCCAACACTTCGAAATGGGTCAGATTGGACCTACCCAGCGTGTTTGTCAAAGCAACCTAAAACTGTTAAAAATGATAGTACACCTGTCCGCATGTCAGCGCGCAAGCAATGCGACACCGAGAGTGTTAATGTTACATTGCGAAACAAAAATTCGAAGAATAAGTCTCCCACTACTCCGTCAGTGTCAGTGATAGAAAAATCTACAGACTCTTCTTGCGACCTACGGGGTTTTATAAGACAAGAGATTTCAGAGCTAAAAAGGGATCTTGAATTTAGTTTCAAAAACTTTATAAACTCAGAGCTTAAGATCATTAAGGACGAGGTACAGGAAATAAAAATGTCCATAGCTTTCATAAATAATAAGTATGATGAGATGAAAGAAAGATTTTAAATATACGATAAATGCCTAGTGTCAGTAAACAGCTTGAGTAATGAAATAGGTATAATAAAGTCTTCATTGGCAAAGTTGGAGCATGAAAGTAATATTAGAGACCAATGGGCGCGGCGTTCCAATATCGAAATTTGTGGCATTCCCGAGAAGAAGAATGAAAATCTCTTCGACATTATTGAGAAAATATCGAAGCACGTAAATTTTTCTTTTAATAAATCAGATATTGATTTTTATCCCGCGTTGCACCATCTACCAAGGACCCTAAAAAACCTAAACCAATTATTGTGCGGTTTTTATCGAGGTATAATAAAGATGACTTTTTGTGTAAAACAAAGAAACTTAAAAGCATGAAAGCGAGTGATCTTGGTTTTTCTGGTACTGAATCCTTGGTATTTTTCAACGACCACTTGACCAGTTTAAATAAATCTTTGTTGCGCCAGGTGAAAATTAAGGCTAAAGATAATAACTATAGATTTGTATGGGTTAAAAACTGTAGTATAATGGTTAGAAAATCTGAGTCTAGTCCTATTTTTCACATAAATAATATGGCGGATTTATTAAAAATAAAATAGGAATTATTGTTATTAGTTATTATTTTAATTACATTATGGCTTATGATGTGTTATTTGTATCACTTTCAGTAGTTCTATATCTTGTTTTAAAAGTTATGTATGATAAACTTATTTTTTTGGGGCACTTGACCTTGACACATTCGGTGATAGTTTCAATTTTATATTATTTAGTTTATACAATTACTATAACATTTGAATATATTTTTGTTAATACACTTCTTTCTAAACTATGTATGACATATATATATTTACATCGGTATACAATTCGGTTCTAATTTAAAAATTTATTATCAAAACGTTCGGGGTCTACGGACTAAGACTGACTTGCTTTTCAGAAACATCTTATGTCATGAGTATGATATAACCTGTTTCACTGAAACTTGGTTACATTCGGGTATATTCGACTTAGAACTATTTGATGCACGGTATTACGTATATAGAAGCGATCGTAACTATACAATCAGAGGTGATACAATGGGTGGAGGAGTTCTGATTGCAATGAGTCGTAAGCTACAAGTTACCAACGTTGAATGCATCCCGTCAACAAATTCAGCTGCTGACGTAATTCGTGTTTCTATTTCATTCGAACGACATACACGTTGCAACATATACTGTTGTTATTTCCCACAATGTCGAATTCACAAAGATGTGTTATCAAACTTTTACGAACATATCTCTGATGAAGTTCTCTCTTACCCTGATGACTACTTCATTATATTAGGAGATTTTAACATACCTAACGCTTTCTGGTCAAAGAATTGTAATGCTGATGTGACCTTACATGGAGACTTTTCATCGGATACAGTTAATGAACTTGCTAATTTTCTTTCTTTTAATAATTTTAATCAGTGTAATATATTTAAAAATTTTAATAATCGTATTTTGGATCTCTTAATAACCAATATCAATTGCAAAGTCAGTTCGGTAACTGCTGCAATAGGTTCAGAGGATTCACACCATCCAGCTTTTGAGTTTACGATTTTAAAATCACATGAGAAACTACTCAAGACTCGGGCTCACACAGTCAAGTTGTATAGAGATGCTGATTATAAGGCAATAAATATAAATCTTTCGCAAATAGACTGGGAATCTAATTTGAGTGACGGTAATATTGATGTCTCTGTGTCAAATTTTTATAAAATTTTGAATGATATAATAGAAAAACACGTACCTACTAAAACTATTAAATTTAACACTAAGTACCCGATATGGTATAACAGGGCATTGATTAAAACTATAAATGAAAAATTAAAATTTCATCGCAAGTGGAAGGTTTATAAACAGGATAGTGATTACAATTCTTTTGCCGTACTAAGAGAGAGACAAAAGTTAATGGAGAACGATTGTTATAACAAATTTATCAATAATGCTGAATATAGAATTGGTATTAATAGTAAATTCTTTTGGTCGTTCGTAAAATCAAAACGTAAATGTAAAGATCTTCCAGACATAATGTTTCTAGATGATTATACGACTTCGGATCCTGTGTTAATATGTGATTTATTTAATGCTCATTTTAGCTCAGCTTTTAGTGTTAATAGTCCAAATCATAATACTCAGATTTCTGCCTCGGCTCAGTCGATCAGTATAAATTCGATCACATTTACAGTCCGTCAGGTTTCTATGTATTTAAAACGCTTGGATATCAGTAAGGGACCAGAACCTGATGGCATCCCACCCTTGTTTTTACAAAGATGTTACCGTCAATTGGCTAAACCACTAGCAATTTTGTTCAGAACTTCTATGAAGTTGGGCGAAATGCCTTTACAATGAAAAAAATCATTCGTAACTCCCGTATTTAAAAGTGGTAATAAGCACGATATTTCAAATTACCGTCCTATTTCAAAATTAAGCTCGATTCCAAAACTATTTGAGAAAATTATTTATGACACACTCTCTCAAATAATTCGACCAATTATAATTCCTGAACAACATGGTTTTATAAGTCGAAAGTCTACAGAAAGTAATCTCTGCGAATTTCTTGATCATCTTTATACTGCTATGGACAGCGGACTGCAGGTAGATGCAGCGTACACCGATTATACAAAAGCATTTGACAAAATTTCACATGATATTTTGATACATAAATTAGATCAAATCGGTGTACATGGTGATTTACTTCGATGGATATCCTCTTATCTTAGAAATCGTAGTCAGGCGGTTGCAATAAAGGGATACTGTTCATCATTTCTCCCAGTTTCATCAGGTGTTCCTCAGGGTTCTCATCTTGGTCCACTACTGTTTATAATATTTATAAACGATGTTATATCCTGCTTCCGTAATTCCAAAATTCTCCTTTTTGCAGATGATATGAAAATTTTCAGGTCTATTAAAACTATAGAGGACTGCCATCTACTTCAAGAAGATCTATGTAGGCTTAGTGCATATTGTCAAGTAAATGATCTTTGCTTGAACATTAAGAAATGTAACATTATCTCATTTACCAGGAAAAAGAATCCTATCCTCTTTGATTATAAGCTTGATGATAATTTACTAATGAGAGTTAATGAACTGCGTGATCTTGGTGTTCAGTTGGATAGTAAGTTGTTACTGAGATCACATATTAATATCATAACTAAAAGAGCTTATAAAATGCTAGGTTTCGTTATGCGTATCTCAAAAGATTTTAAAAAGTCTTCAACAGTTATCTTACTATTTAACACTCTGGTGCGGTCTATTCTTGAGTATTGTTCTTCATGTTGGAATCCTCAATACAAAGTTTATATTAAAATGATTGAAACAATCTACAATAAGTTTCTGCGTCACTTAAAGCGATATAATTCTTCTGTAGACTCCATTATTGATAATTTAGGCAGCAATACCCTCGAGAAACGCCGTGATATAAGAGATCAAATGTTGTTGTACAAATTGCTTCATAATATCATCGACTCTCCCCTACTTTTAGGCAAAGTGAATCTTGCGTGTCATAGGTTAGGTGCACGAAATAAACCTCTTTTTGCATTACCTAAAGTTAAAACAAGGTATGCCTCAAATAATTTTGTATCTCGTACATGCAAAAATTTTAACTTAAAATATTGTAAATTAGATATATTTCACCTTGAATATGATAGTTACAAAGAAAATATTGTAAAACTTAATATATAATTGGTAGTTTCACTTTGAATTGTATATATGTATAATGTTACTTTTAACTACTTACTACTTAATGTTTTAATTTATGAATACCATTTAGCTAGTTTTATTCTTTTATATTTTAATTTTATACAACATAATATTGTGGTGGCAAGCTTTTATTATGTATTAGATATCTGTGGAAACTTCATTGGTTCTTAGGATTACTTTTATATGTTTTATTATGTAATTTATTATTGTACTGTATGTTTCCCTTAAAAAGCAAATAAAAAAATAAAATAAATAAAATAAATTAAACTGGCCCGCAATCCGAAACTTTGTCCAGCAAAGACTCGTTTTCAAACACAAGTTTTTTCCAGTACTCGGCGACGTTTTCCCGAGAAATATTGGAATGATATGCAGAAGAAACAGCGTTCGTGATAGCACACATCTTTGTCGAACACCAGCGTTAAAAGGCTTGTAGTTGGAGTATACACCGTCTACAATGACCTTGATGCTCCAATATGCAAGGAAGCTGGTGATCCAATTGCACAATTTCTCGGGAAGCCCATAGGAAGAGAGCTTCGAAAGAAGCGCTTTGTGCCAAACTCTATTGCCTCCGCCCATGATCCTCAAGGTACAGCATGAGCTGGCAGTTAATAATGGATTCCATTACTTTGGAAAACAAGGAGGTGATGGCGATAGGGCTGTAGTTGGACGGGTCTGAGCAGTCGTCTTTTTTAGGGATCGGGTGGACAAAAGCTGCCTTCCTTGATATAGGGACTACGCCTAGGGAGTAGGAGTACCGGAAAAGACGCGTTAGGACCGGTGCCAACTCCGGAGCACACGTCTTCAGTACAATTGGGGTATTTCGTCAGGCCTACTCGACTTGTGGATGTCCAGGGAGAGGTGTGCTTTGTGAACCGAGCGCTGTGAGAACTGCACATCCGTCAAAAAGCACTTACACCGCGGGAAGGTCTTCGGTGTATTCCCCCCGTCATCATGATTCGAGCTGGACGCAAAAAGGGAGCTTAAAAGGTCGGCTTTCTCTTTTACTGGTGGGCCAGTGATTCGTCCTCCCTGTGGAGAGATGGTAGTGATAGCTTGGAAAGCCTTGGCGAGAGACCAGAATGCATGGGTTCCCGAAGGAAGGCGAGCAAGTTTCTCGCCAATTCTGCCTATGAGCTCTGATCTTGCCTTGGCAATAAGTCTTTTGAAGGACCTGGAGGCGATGTTATACTTCTTTTTAAGCATGCTAGTGTTTACATCCCGAGTCGCTGAAGCCGCAGTCCAGGCTTGATAACACTCCTGCTTACTGCGTAATGCAGTCTTACAGGAGCGACCAAACCAAGGCTG